GGAGCTCTGGCCCGAGCCAGTGCCTCCACTCCGACCTCCGCCGCCACCACTACCACCGCTCCGACCGCCACCGCCACCACCGCCACCACCGCCACCGCCGCCACCGCCGCCGCCGCCACTACTGCCACTGCTTCCTCCGCCGCCCCCGTCTCCACCACCGACCCCACTCCCACCAGCGCTCCCGCCACCGCTCCCTCCAGCACCGCCTCCCCCCCCACCTCCCCCACCTCCTCCCCCCCCAGCGCCACCACCACCACTTTTGCCCCCCTTGCCCTTGCCGGTGCGGCGCCTCCCACCAGGAGTAGAAGCAGCGCCAACAGACTCAGCACCAAGGAAGTCAACAGCAGCAGCAGCAGCGTAGGAGGGAGCGAGGGGAGAGGGAGAACACCCCTCAAAGATGGGGGTGCGAGGAGCGCCACGAGCAGCACCGACAGCTACAATGCTCTTTTCGGCCGCGAGCAGGTGCTCCTCTAGGAGGGCGACTGTGAGCTCAGTGGGACAGCGAGCAAGGAAGTGGTCTCGAACTGAGCGGAGGGTGTCAGGGAGACGGGTGACTATGAAGTGGAGTGTCCAGTACAGTGGAGGGGGGTTCTTAGCGCAGAACTCGGTGGGAAGGGCGGCACGCAGGCGAGCATCACTAGTGCGAAGGTGGGTGATAAGATCGGCGACTGTAGTAAAGGTGGACAGATCGGGGAACAGGTACGGCAGCATGAGGCGGCTAAGCTCGGCTGTGGCAGGCGAGGAGTAGCGAGCGACGACAGCGTCGTACAGGGCCTTAGCGGATTTGCAGTCGCCAAAATGCTCGAGCTCAGCTAGCGGGAGGTGACTGCGAATGGCTAGGCGAGCAGCTGCGTCACGAGTCTGCCAGTGGGAACGGACACTAAGCTCGGCTGTGGCAGCAGGAGCAGCGGCAGCACCAGACGCGTAGTCATAGAGGGAGATGTGGTCCGTGCTATTGCTCATAAGATACAACTGCAGGTCGTCGAGCCAGGAAGTGAACTGCACGGGACGGCCCTCAGCATCGAAGGAAAGAACGCGAATAGAGGCCATAGCTCAGGCGTGAGGGCACAGCAGAGCAGCGGCAGCAGCAGAGGGGACAGGAGAAAGCGGCAGTGCACAGGTAGCGGGCGGCGCTGCGAAGCAGGTAGCGGGCGAGCGGGCGGCGCTGCGAGCGGGCAGCGAAACGGGCGGGCCGCGAAGCGGGCAGCTAGCGGGCGGGCGGGCTGCGAAGTGGGCGGGCCGCGAAGTGGGCAGCTAGCGGGCGGGCGGGCTGCGAAGTGGGCGGGCCGCGAAGCGGGCAGCGGGGCGAGCGGGCTGCGAGGCGGGCGGGCCGCGAAGCGGGCAGCGAGCGGGCGGGCGGGCTGCGAAGTGGGCGGGCCGCGAAGCGGGCAGCGAGCGAGCGGGCTGCGAAGCGGGCGGGCCGCGAAGCGGGCAGCGAGCGAGCGGGCTGCGAAGCGGGCGGGCCGCGAAGCGGGCAGCGAGCGGGCGGGCGGGCTGCGTAGCGAGCGGGCCGCGAAGCGGGCAGCGAGCGGGCGGGCGGGCTGCGAGCGGGCGGCTCGGCGAGGGGCGCGCGAGGGCGCTAGTGAGGGGCGCGCGAGGGCGCTAGCAAGGGGCGCGCGAGGGCGCTAACGAAGGGGCGCGCGAGGGCGCTAACGAAGGGGCGCGCGAGGGCGCTAACGAGGGTGCGCGCGAGGGCGCTAACGAGGGGCGCGCGAGGGCGCTAACGAGGGCGCACGAGGGCGCTACGAGGCTAGGGCACGGGGTAGCGTGGTAACCGCATGCGAGCGGTGGTGGGCCCTTAAAAAAAAAAAACGGTCGGTAGGTCCTAGGGACCTCCTGCTCTGAATACCATGTCAGAATCACTAGGCAAGAATGAATGAACTAACAGAAGTTTGGGTACAAATATGAAACCCTAGTTGGGGTTGTACCCCATATTGGCTACCCCACTACAGCCTACAAGCATAATACAGTTTAACAGCTGGCGCAGGCGGGCAGCGCATGTTGCTGCTGTTGCTGCTCGCGCTGCCGCACGGCATGGTCGACAGGTGGGCGGGTGGGGAGCAGGTGACGAAGGGCAGCTGCAGTGGTAACGGCAGGCGCTGCAGGTGCTGCTCCACGAGCTAGAAAGCGCGGCACCAGCGTAAGCACGGGCGACCAGGCGGGCGATATTGTTGATAGGCCAAGGCATGGCCACGATGAGGCCAGCATTACTCCCGCCAACTCCCCCAAAATCAGCTGTCGAAACGAGGGCGGCGGCAGGAATGCGATGTGGGGCGACGAGGGGAAGGCGGTAATGAGTCGCGACGAGCCGCCAAAATGGGCACCGTTGAGGCTGCGACGAGCGCCATATGGGACACGAGATATGTTGGGCCCATGGGAAAAATATAATTATAGGGCGAGGAACATACCCGCTCTGTACCATCGTAAAGTAACCTAGGAACAAGTTCTCTCGACATTGGTTCCTAGGCTACTTCAAGAGAAAGCACCGAAGAGATTGTGACGCTAACGGCAGAACACGCGTCATTGCAAAACAACGTCGCACGGCAGAAGCTCTCCCGCCGCCCCCTCACCCTTCTTCACCACACCTCCACCCCCCCAAAGCGATAGACGCTGCAGGGAGTGAGAGGAGAGAGGAGAGGCGAGGGGAAGTGGCGTCGAATCACGTCATCATCCACCCCCGTCTCCCCTACTCATGGCCACCACCCCACCCCCCACCTCCACACACCCCTGCAAATGCCACGGTAGGGGTAGGATGGGGGGTCGCTGGCGCAGGCAGGCAGCGGGCGTTGCTGCTGTTGCTGCTCGCGCAGGCTCACTGCAAAACGACGTCGCAACAAGCACGATTACAAACACAAGGCACGCAAGCACAAGGAGCACGATATGCATCCCAACACGGGAGTGTGGGACAACCCTCAAGCGCGGCTACTGATGGCGTCGCACGCAATGACGGAGGCGACGACCACAAGACGACACACCTCGGAGCAGCAATTGCGGCCAGGATTACAATTTTGACGCCAATCGATGAGTCCGCACTGCCGTCACCGATACCGCTCAAGCTGCAGCGTCCGCCGTCCTTTTATCCAAGTCAATGGGGTGGTCCGACGGTTCAGGCGTGGTTTTTTATGATGAATGTATTCTTCGACGCAAACTACGTCTCGTTGGACGAGGCAAAAATCCGATACACCATGTCGTTACTATAAGGACTTGCCATTGATTGGTTGCGCGTGATCGTCACGAAGCCGACCGACTTTAATACTCTACCGTCATGGGAAGGACCAACTGGACCTCGGGCGCCGTCGTATTATATGGAGGTAGCCCTGTACCGCATGTGGGATGCGTGGTGCGCAGATCTGCATGCATTATTCGAGCCAATTGCGACGTCGATCCCAACGTGAAAGAAGCTACGCACTTGGCGCTAGCTCGGTTCCGTTCAGGACTACACTAACGGGTTTCTGGCGGTGTGCGAGCAAGTGGGATTTATGCAAGAAGCGGAACGCATCGACCGCTATGTCGGTGGCCTGAAAAGCGACATCGCCCAGGAGATATTGCTTCGAAATGTCACAGAATTGGACGAGATTGTTACTGTGGCTAAGAAGCTTGATTTTCTTCGCCCACCGAGATAGAGGTCTTACGGCAACAGCAACAGATGGGACGAACGAGCACGCCACCAATACGCGCAGTCGCCGCGAATGCCGCTGCCACACCATTCAAAGGGCGCTGCTTTGCGTGCAACAGGTCAGGACATCGTAAGAGTGAATGCCCAGAAAACGCTAAACGAAGGGGCCAGAGTGAATGCCCAGAAAACGCTAAAGGAAACGCCCAGAGTGAATGCCCAGAAAACGCTAGAGACAGACCAAGCAGCAGGGAAACGCATGGAGTCAGTAGTTGGCGGGCCCTCAACTGAGAGGTCACGCCGCTCACCTGACCCAACCGACTCTTACAGAGTGATTGTGTCGGTTCATGCAATCGACCATACACGGCCGATTAAGTAGGGTATATTGGTAGATGGCGCAATACTTTATAACCCTAAAAAACATACTAACTTTGTAAAAAATATTTGTGGACGGGGGGGCTATTTACAGCCTGATCAACACCACCACTGCACGTACGACACTGGACCGATTTACCTAAGATCGACAAACGAATGGTCGACGTCACGCCACTGGCGATATGGGAACGTGTAAAAAGATTTTGGCAACAACTCTCAACGGGACCGATATTTTACTCGGAAGTGATCGGTTGCGAGGACACAATCCGCAAATTGGCTAGACGATGGGTGACTCCGCTGTGCGAGTGCAATCACCTCCCCCACCTCGATGGAGCTTGCCTAAGTCTTCGTTGGTGCGTGCCAATGCGATCACGATAGAACAAGCCATAGCGGTAGGACCTGACGTGTACTCGGTTGAGATGCATGAAGCTGAGGCAGCAGACAAACTGGGCGATTCGCAGAAACTACTCGCAGACGTACCGGATGACTTGGCGATGCTATTGAAGCAGTACAGCGTGATATTTCTGGACAATTAACCGGAGGAACTGCCACCTCAGCAACCGCACAACACAGCATAGAATTAGAACCGAGGGCACAGCCGTCAGTAAAGCGTCAATGCTGAATGTCCCAACCCGAACTGGACGAACTGAGGGAACAGCTGGATTACCTGCTCAAGGAAAAGTTCATTGGTCCGAATTTGTCACCTTTTTTAGCACCGATACTATTCACACCAAAAAACGACGAGGGGTTTTTGTCAGAATATTATGCTCTAGCCTGTAGTGGGGTGCTCTATAGCGAGTACAACCCTTCTAGGGTTTGCTATTTGTATCCCCATTCTTGCTAGTGCAAACTCTCCTTTGCTCATTTCTCTCTTGCCTAGCTAGGGTTTACCTAGCTATGGCTCATGATTCTAGCTCCTATTTTGACATGGTATCAGAGCGGTTACGCTCCTGGCCTGTGGGCCCGCCTGCTTCCGCTGCCTTCCTGTGTGTCGCGCGTCCCGTGGCGCGCGATGTTCGTTTTTTTCTTCCCGCCGCGCGCTCGGTGTGCGTGGCGGTTTTCTGCCCGCCGTGCGCCCCGAGGCGCGCGGCGGTTTCCCACCGTCGAAGCGCCCCCCGTCGCCCGTCGAAGCGCTCCCCCCCGTCGCCCGTCGAAGCGCCCCCGTCGCCCGTCGGAGCGCCCCCCGTCGCCCGTCGAAACGCCCCCGTCGCCCGTCGAAGCGCCCCTGGGACCCGCGCGCGGCCCGTACGGGCTGCGCCAGGCCCGCGCGCGGCCCGTACAGCCCGCGCGCGGCCCGTACGGCCTGCGCCAGGCCCGCGCGCGGCCCGGGCAGCCCGCGCGCGCCTCGTCCGGCCTGCGGCAGGCCCGTGCGCGCGCCTCGTCCGTCCCCCGAGCTTCTGCCGGCGCCCCACCCCCGCTACTGCCCGCGTTCCTGTGTTAGGGTTTGGGGGTGGAGGGTATGGGGGTGCCGTGAGTGTGAGCCGTCCCCTGCTCCTCCTCCTCCTCCGTCTCCCACTGCTGCAGCTGCTGCTCAGGGGGGTGGGTGTGTGGGAGCCGAGGGTTTAGGGTTTAAGGGGGGTGCCATGGGAGTGGAGCTAGGGTTTCAGCAGGGGGTGTGTGTCGAGGGGTGTGGGACTGTTGGGGGAGGTTGAGGGGAGGTTGCCGTCGTGTCGTACGCAGCGCCTGTACTCCGGGGCACTCACTCCCGGTAGCTCAGAGAGCCGGTTGCGCCGTCGCCTGTGGGTCCGTTGCTCCTGCTGCTCGTCTTAGCCGCGGAGCCTGTTACTCCTGTACTCCGGGGCACTCACTCCCGGTAGCCACTGTGTCGCACCAGAGCCGTCTGTTGCCCGTGTGCCTGCAGCTTCAGTCGTCGCCTCCCATCTACTCTCCTCTCGCCAGCCCTCCTCCTCCTCACTTGCCCGTTGTGACTACCACTAGCTTTGCTCATAATTGTGAACTTTAAACTATTGCTTCTTAAACTTGTGCTCAGAATGTGTGGTGACATTGTGATCCACCCTGAGCTTGTACTGCTTTGCTTGCTCTGCTGATTACACCCCACTTTGGCTATGGGGGTGTGTCAGAATATTATGCTCTAGCCTGTAGTGGGGTGCTCTGTAGCGAGTACAACCCTTCTAGGGTTTGCTATTTGTATCCCCATTCTTGCTAGTGCAACCCTCCTCTTTCGCCTAAACTCTCTTGCCTAGCTAGGACTCTCCTAGCTATGGCTCCTAAGACTACCGGTTATCTTGACAGTTTTGCATAGATTATCGCGCAATGACTGGAGTTACGATCAAGTCTTCTTACCCCATTCCGCGAGCCAACGTCTGATGGACCAGATTCGCACAGCTCGAGTCTTCTTGAAACTCGACCTTCGAGGAGGTTACCACCAGATCCGCGTCAACCCACCCGACTTCCTGAAAACCGCCCACAAATGCTAAGGATCGGTCGAATAAACTATAACCCTTTCGGACCGACCAAGCTCACAAGACGGCGCCTCACTACTTCCATATGCGAGTCGTAACCACTCCAAATATCGATGCTGCTAATTGCTTGACAGGTATTGAAGCCAAGTCGTTCGCATGTATTGTCCCTGCTGAAGTCCTCTCAAATTGCAGCTTCTAGCGCCGCCATTACAACGCACCTCCGCGCAATAGCGAAACTGCAAAATTATATGCGGACGCTATCACTGGTAGCATTTCATCATTACGAAACATCCACGCGGCAAACGACCATCCAAAAACAGTGACGAGGTTGTCACTTGGGTTGAACAAGGGGCGGGTTCATCAGCTTAATCCTGATAGCAGTTGAGGCTAGCACTCGTTCACGTACGTGCGTGCGTGCGTGCGTGTGTGTGTGTGTGTGCGCGCGCGCGCGCGCGCGTGTGTGTGTGTGTGTGTGTGTGCGCGCGTGTGTGTGCGCGCGTGTGCGCGCGCGCATGTGTGTGCGCGCGTGTGCGCGCGTGCGTGCGGGCGCGTGCGCGCGTGTGCGTGCGCGCGTGTGCGCGTGCGGGCGCGTGCGTGCGCGTGCGTGCGCGTGCGTGCGCGTGCGTGCGCGTGCGTGCGCGTGCGTGCGCGTGCGTGCGCGTGCGTGCGCGTGTGTGTGTGTGTGTGTGTGTGTGTGTGTGTGTGTGTGTGTGTGTGTGTGTGTGTGTGTGTGTGTGTGTGTGTGTGTGTGTGTGTGTGTGTGTGTGTGTGTGTGTGTGTGTGTGTCAGTGTCAGTGTCTTAGTAACCAATCATCCAGATGGGTTATATTAGGAGATGTTTAAGTTATGAAACCGTTGCTTTCGTCATCATAGTTGGCATACAAGTGGGTTAGTAATTGCCATTGTAGTACCCGTTTTTTTACTAGGAATCCAAATCGATATCTGTATTTTTCGTGCATTGGTGCTTGAAACGAATACATAAGGTTCTGACACAGTACTTTGAACGACGAAAGTTGTGTCAGAAAGTTGTTGCGGAGTATCCAATCAAATGCGCTGGCGAGAGGGGCCAATTGGATGGGATATTGCCACAAAACACGAATCGTGAGACGGGGACGGGAGACCCCGCCCAGCTAGACCAAGCATGTGGTGTGGTGACGGGAAGTTCTGTTTGAAACGCTTAGAAACGCGAACAAACGCTTTGAACCGTTATACCTTGGGCCTTGATAAACGCCCTCGCAATCCGTCGGCGACGGAAAACTTGCGCGACGCGACAGGCTCCGAACTTCTCTCAACCCCATCGACCAAGCTCGCACCACAGATAGGGCGATCCGAACCTCGGCCAAATGGATCGACCTACATGCGCTTCCACGTTATTTTCATCCTGCGATCGGGGTGTAATATGCGTTACAGGTGCCATTTGGTTTTACGGTCAGAATCGCGAAATTACAACCTGAGGTTCCGGTTTTTCCAATATATAAATTTGGTTTCGTTACACAACGCTAACGAGTGAGACAGCAAGCTGACCGCGGGCAAACAAAATAAAAACCATGGCTTACGGCATGCCATTCGGGAGCCTCAACCCTAAAATTTTGGGCAAAGATCATATTGGGGCCGGAAAATAGCAGGGAGGTGTCCAAATTAGGGCCGGGTAAATCCTGACCGTTCGATACATCCCCGTAGCTGCCCATGTGGCTGGGCCGATTACCCGAACCGAGATTATGAGGAAATTACTAAAATCAAGACGTGTTTCATTCAATATTTTTCTCATACTAAGCTCGCGTCGTATTCCTCTGGAAGTATGTTTCTTCGTGTATTTTTTTAAGAGACACATCACTCAACGTGACAAAAAAAAACCCGCTCGGAAACGGATGCGACTCGGGGAGGCATCAACCCTAAACTCCTTGCGGGGTCTCGTGTTTAGGGTTGATCCCTCCCGAAAAGACGTCCGGGTTCGCTAAGGGTTTTAGTTTTTTCCCTTCCCTAACAGTTACCGGTAGCGTCGTCTAGTGCTTGGTGGCGCTATCGGCGTAAAGTTTCCTCTCAATCAGTCACGACGCGTAAGAACCTCTGACAAGTGAAAACAATTTCACGATTACGGGAATTCCAGTAATTTACTCTAAATGTCTAGGTTCGACTACCCGGCCCTAATTTGGACACCCCTCTGCTATTTTCTGGCCCCAATATGATCTTTTCCCCTAAAATTTTAGGGTGGAGGCTCCCAAATGGGATGCCATCTGGATGGGTTTTTTTTTTTCTTGCCCGCGCAATATATATTCCAGTAAACAGGAAACGTGGCACTCGAGCCAAACATAATCGCGCTTCCGAAACAATGACATCGAGAGGGACCACCGACTCTTACGCATCAGAATTTTCTGTCTTTATCGCAAAAGCGTTTGTAGGTCGATCCATTTGGGCGAGGTCCGGATCGCCCTACCTGCGGTGCGAGCTTGGTCGATGGGGTTGAGAGAAGTTCGGCGCCTGTCGCGTCGCGCAATTTTTCGGTCGGCGACACATGCGAGGAACCACCAGATTATCCGCGACGTGTCGAAGTTTTTGTCAGAATGATGCCGGTCCGTGCAGGAGGCAAGCCAACCCCCACGAGAACCGCAAGGGGCAGAATGGATGAGGGAAACCGCTCACGATCTCGTCCCGGGACGGGGAAAAGACGGCAGCCCTTACCGTCTCTTATCACATACCTTAGCGAACGGCAAGTGACCCCGCATCGCATCTCTGCTACATCAGTCCGAACCTCTTCCCACCCTTCCGCCAGCTCCTCATCGGCCAAATCGCTCAAAACAGGGTCGACTTTCGTTTACCCTGGTTTGACCCCATCCTCACCCTCCTCACCTATCCTGTGTTTTTTATTCCTGGTAGCTCCCGAAGTTGGCCTGTGTAAAAACTCTTCTCGAGTCCTCTCATCCCCTGTTTTGACAAAGTCTTTATTTTTTCGCGGGAATCTTGTCGTTCGCCATTCTCCCATGTTCACTAGTTCTCCCTCCGCGATTTCAGCGACAGCTGACATACTCTTTGGACAGACCCCCCCACCGGAATGGCGTTACCACGGTCGTGGATTGCGCGGCTGCTCGTGGTTCTGCATTTCGTTCTCGCGTTCGCTTTGTTGACTAGAACCCAGCGCGACGCGGTAAGTGAATACGAATCGGGAAGAGCCCCGACCGCTCCGTACGGGCCACGTTACGGGCTGAGTAGCTAGGGCCGCCTCAGGGTGTGCGAAATATCTGCAACCACAGACCAGAAAATCCCCTTCCTGCTTTCCCACCAGGAAACCACAGAAGCTCTCGGCGGGCAGTTGCCAAAACGGGCGGCTATCCAGGGCGCGAGTCGCGTCCTCTGAACTTCAATTTCTCTGAAGCAGACAGAACATGCGGGTCGTCATGGGCCAGCGACTACGCCGCGTTGCACGGTCGAATTCTGAGACGCGCCATGGATGCGTATTTAGCACGGCAACGGGCTGAGACGACACCGTCCCGGCACGACCCGTCCATTCGCTTTCTCACGTTCGAGTGGCTGGGCGACTGTGGCGGCTTCGCGGACGTGCTCGCGGGGCTGCTAACCGCCTTCGTCGCGTCAATACTCGACAACCGCGCACTCATAGTACGCAACGACTACCTCCCCGCAGCCTTCGAACCCAACCTCATCAACTGGACTCCAGGAAAAGGTATTGCGGAAATGAGTCGAAAAAACTGCAGAAAAGTTACTTTCTGGATACCCGGCCCCGATGTTTTCCAGTGAAGGTCAAAACCATCGGAATTCCCGCAAGGGTGCACGTTGCGTAAAAGTGACCCCTTCGCCACATTTCGGACACATTTCAGGAACCTCCCAGCAACCGCGATCTTGCCAGAAAGTTGCGATAAAGTTGCCCGTCACACGTGTCACATGACACCGTACACCAAAGTGCTTGTGCATCATACCGTACGTACCCCCTTGCCATGCGGCCTTCATCGAGGCGGCTCCACGCAACGATCTCCGCCGTACACATGTGAGCACCCCGTTGGTCTAACGAGTGAATACACCCACTCTCGTCGCCCACTTACCAAACAGCGCGTGCATTTCGCCCACCAATCTGCATGCAGAGGACCCACCTCCCCACCCACAAACGCGCCGCCACCTCCCCACCCAACGATCTCTCGTTATCCCACACCTGTGCGTACTGCTCGCACACCCATCCAACGCTCTCGCGACATCTGTCTACGTCCGCTTTGCGCACACCA